TAAGTTAGTTCTTTCTTATATTTGGTACTCCTTTATATCATCAGTTTGCTCATCCAAAAAAACAATTTACCACACATCCCCAGCCAAGTCTCTTCAAACCTGCCACTGTCCTCAGTGCCATATCAAATGCATCTAGTCAGACTTTCACACCAGGACCCCCTGAGGTACCTCAGAGCCTTTCCAGATCTACTTTGGGCACTGCATCCATTTGGAAGGAAGGAGCAGGAGCCTCCAGTGGGGACAGACCCATAGGAAACAGCTGGATACCTGTAGTCTTTGAGACCTGAGGTCAGGGGACTGACCCAGGACAGAAAGATTCCAATAGCCTCCCAAAGAGGGACCTGGGGTGGAATAGCAAGGTCCCAAAGCTGTTGGAGATACCCAGTGTATGAGGGGCAAATTTACCAACCAGCCTGCCCAGCCTCCATGGTTTCTTTACCAATTGCTGTTAGAACTTCTCATCCTGCAAATAGGCAGCGCCTTTTCTTCTCAGTAGCCGTTTCACGTTTTGTATGTATTTCAAGGTAGCAGCTCCTTTGAAGGGGTCCCTGCAGGAACACTTCTGCACTCACTACAGGTTTCTGTTTCTTCCCTGGTGTCACTCTAATGAGCTTAAATATCAAGCAGCTTAAAACACACAGGGGTTGTTGTTCACCAAAGGGATGAATAGTCAGTTTTGAATTCACTGGAGCATTTCAGCCAGTTTCAATCACAACAGAATATGTTTGCATCTGGTCCCAGCCCTGTGAGTCCTCCCTCAGTCCTGTGGAGTAATTGAAGAATGTGATTAGATATAATTATTTTAATTGCCCTTTGACTCAGAAAGATTCCTGATAGTGCTGAGTAGAATCTGGTTGCAAAGGAAAAAAAGGCCTTGTGGATTGTCTGCATCAGGACAGCCATTAACAGTGGTGTGAGGGATCCAAATGAAACATCGCTAACCTACTACAAGCACTGCTTGGAATGCAGCAACGGGGAACGCATTTTATAACTGAATTCAGGAAACAGAATGTGTGCAGTGTGTCAGTTTGTCTGTGACTCATTTGAGCTTGTTATTAGTCCACACAGTGTTCAAGCCCAATGTAATATCGCTTACTTTGCTGAGGTTCCTGTTTGATGCAGTTGTGAATAAAAGCACAGGGTTCTTCTACGGCTTAAAGCCTGAAATATGAGAATCGAGACCATATATATTCAATAAGGTGAAATACTTAACACCTAACCATTCCAGAAACAGCATTTTTGTTGAAGGCTGCAGTAAAGGAGAATGATGGTCTAATAATTAGGTCACCCACGCTGAACTTGGAAAGCATTGTCTGTATTCTCTGCTCTGCTGATCCTGGATTGGCCTTTGGTGCAGCACTTGTGCTGCTCCACATCTCATTTCCCCCCCTCTGTAAAGAAATGAGAGAGATGTGCCTTCTTAGGAGTATGTGTGTTCCTTCCTTTCTGTGTTAGTAACAACCATGCAAATTCACTGATGTAGTGACAGGAAGGGCAAAGGCTTTTGTGATTTATTTTTTTCTTTAGTGTATAAATATATAGTATCTGTGGAATAAACCACTTCTGAATGTGGAAGAAAGTACATTAGAATATAAATAAATTTAACAGGAACGCTTTTGGCTTAATGACACTACGCAGAAGCTTCCTGTAGGGTAGTGGGGTCTTCTAGGAGAGCACTGACTTATGCTAACAATGCTTTTAGACTTAATCTAGATATTTGCTATTAGCCCTGTGAGGCTATTGGAGAGGAAGGACTTCAGTCAGACCTAGGCTGGCTATCCTAATATTCCCTGTGTGTAACGAGTGTGATTTTCAGAAGTGTGAAACCTCTATAGATCCTATTTGTACGGTATAAACATCTCTTCTTTAGCAGGTTCACTAGGTAGGTACTTCGTTTTGCTTTTGGTTTTCCATATTTGGTTGGTAAGTCAAATAATTTTAATAGTCTTAGTCTTTTGTATTTGATTAAGTGCAGGTGCAAGAAACAAGCAAACAAAACAAACACAAAAAAAAACCACAAAAAGGACACCCCCACAAAAACAAACCTCTTGACAAAAATGACCTGATCTTTCATTTACAGGCACTAGAGAGGCCAAGAATGATTCAGGTTGCAATTGTTTTGACTATTACATTTGCCATTCATTCTGTTTGGAAGGAGCTGAATCAGACTCTTCCTCACACTACTCAGAGCTTATTAGTATTAGTGAGGTCTGATTTACAGGACTTCTCCTACAGGCATTTCTTTTCTACCCATGCAGTTGTACTGAGTCCAGTGGATTTTTGTCTGATTTATTACCATGTGAGTGAGTGCTGTGCCAAGCTGTGTGACTCCTGCAGTTAGTCTCGATTTGCACCAATGTAGCTGACAGCAGGATTTGAACTGAATGATCCCACTGTTACTGTGGCACATGCATTGTAATCAAAGCCAATGCTGCATCGTTATCTCTTTAGAAATGAATGCTGTGTATGCACCTCTTAGCTCACTTCTTGTGTCTGCAACTGTCTTCTCTTCTGAATAACTCTATTCACAAGCATCATTATGTTGCTGTGCATCTGCCATGAGGAGACGGTAGGTCCAGCATGACATAACTGGGGCATGTGTCCAAACGCCGACTCCAAAGGCCTTCCCACTGTTATCCATTCAAAGGAATGCCAGCAAGCTCGGAGTGCTCGGCATGGGCCAGCGTAACCTGTGCTGGACAGTAAAATAGGCGAGTGCAGATGTCTAGTGTGCTGGTTGTGGAATGCCAGGGCTGCATCCTTGATCAAGAATTAGTGAAGCTAACACTGTCTTTTGTTTTTTGACTGAATGCCTCCAAAATGCTCCCCTTTCATCTAGTTTTCCATTACTGATTATTTCCAAGCAGTGCTGTGCTACTTGGCCCAAATTCAGGAGCTACTGATGCTGCAAGCTGTGTTGGTAAAACTGGTTGTAGGAATAGGCAAAATAAGCAACTCCTTGGGGTGGCAAAAGGTTGCCACAGCAGCCCTGTGCAGCAGTGGCAGTTACTAAGTGTGCCCAAAACTCTCAGTGGCAGCAGAAGCAGCAGCTCTGGGGGTCTCTTGTCCTCAGCTGTCTTTCTCAGCACTGTCCATCCTTTTCCCATACCCACTGAGCCAGGGCACACACCAACGTTTTGGGAATTCATAATCTATTCACCACTCCAGTACATTTGCCTGATGAAGATTACTTTCATTCTCCAGTCTTTTCTACTGCTTGTAGCTTACCATTTTTGGTTTATTTTCATCTTTATTTCCCATAGTGTACTGAAATGATGTGAAAGAAACATTTGTTCACACAAATAAGGGAAGGTAATTGCTTCCCTCCCTGACCACATGATCTCTTCTGTTCCAAGTCTTAATTAAAATGGTACTAAAGGAAGCAAATCAATTAGCAGATAACTTACAAAATGTTTTTTTCACTTACACATGTACACATACACAATTACTTACAAGTATCACGTTACTGCTTTAGTTTATCTGTTAGCAAATGCTGCTAATGAACTGCAGTGTTACTGACCTGGGTAACAGACACCAAGGAATCCATGGAAATACATTACTTTTCTCTGAAAATAAACCTTACATTTTGCTGTTCAAAATGTACAAGAAAAAAAATAATCCAGTTTTCTTCGCATATTTGTAAAATTCCCTGCTTTGCTAAGGTTGGAACAAAACCCTATTCAAATCCTTTCAGTTACAGTTACAAGCAATACACTACCTTATTCTTTAGAGAAACAAAATTCTGATATATCTGCTTTTGTGATCTGACAGTATGTTCACTCTAAGTCCCTGACTCAGCACATCAACACTGGCTTTAATGTGTGGGGTTAATTGCAGCTCTTCATGGCCTGAAAGTTCATTATTGGAAGGGAGGCCCTGGTTTCCATGAATTTTTGAAGCTATATTTCTTAATAATACACAGAATTTCTAGGTTGGATTACTTTTTTATAAGTTGGATAACTTCTGTTACATTACAGTAGTGAAAAACTGGAAAGAACTTTATTATGATCTGCCACATGGCATAACTGAGAGCAAACACTGGTTTAAAGTTAACTTTAGGAATGTCTGTCGGATAAGAGATTAAAACAAATCCATATGTCTGCAGACATTGGCCTGAGTGTAATGTTTAGGAAGATCCAATCAATTTACAGTTTGCGGTCTTTGGATCTGGATAGTGGGGTTTGTAAGTTGCAATAAAATAATGTAACATCCTGCTTGGAGTCATCCTGTAATGTTACAACATAGCAGCTATGCCTGTGAAATAATGTGACATTACTTGATGCTATGTGTGACATCTACCTGAGGCTCTCAAGCCTTTGGATCCTGCTGGGTTTCCTGAGATGAGCTGCAGGAATAGCAGGGGATGCCCAGTGTTGCATTGCTCCTAGCCAAGTAGCATTCGCTGCCCTGTCTTCACAAACTGAAAGGAAAAACTGGTCTTAAGTATAAAAATCTTCCTGCTTTTACCTTGTGATGAAAATATCTGCTGTAATACAGCATTCTTGAAAGAAGTGGGTTAGACAGAACTATAGCATTATTTTCTGAACTACAGGCTCACAGCTTTGATAAAGGTTGGAATGTGTTTACAAAGCAACTTGGGTTTAAACCATCTAAAAATATTTAAACTATTCCAAATATTCTGAGACAAAGCTCTATTTTTTCTTCTTGTCACTCTCACTGTAATTGGAATCAGGCAAAGCAATTATGATGAAATCAAATTCAAGAGAATATATATTGCTAGAACAAGAATGAAGGGGCTGGGAGATGGATTGAATTCTGATTGAAATGACATTTCAAATTCTGTTTGAATGTTGTGCATTGTTTTATACTAAAAAAATAGGGTGGGTGAATTTTGGAAGTGTCAGATGAGGTTGTTTTAGAATGATGGCATCAAATGTTTTGCTTCAGGTGCCCAGAAACTTTTTTTTTTTTTTTTTGAGAGTACAAAACTGGTTTATTTCAGTGTTCTAAAAACAAACCAGAAAAAAACAGTATTTCAAAAAGGAATTTTTAATTTTAAATTATGATTCATTTTAAAAGCTGAGATTAGAACTACCACTTACAGTTATACAAGACATTAGTCCTAGAGCTAAAGAAGATACAACTTTAGTGTGAATGAAATGTTTTCCTATTAACACAGATCACGTATTTCCCCCCAAAAAATTGAGAAGCCTTGCTCTGCTTCAAGGTCAAATGAATGATATCTTTTTAAGTTACTTCAGTCATTATTTACCTATCTTGAAATACAGGTGTGACCATGAATTCTGCTGCTGAAATGTATTTCTACCTTGATTTAATTGATTTTAGAAATCAACCGTATACTTAGCACAGTCTAAACAGGATCTGTTAATGAGCAGAGCTCATCTACTTGATTTTTCTCATACATTTCCTTCATACACGATGTTGGGAATTACAGGCTTCTTATGTGCAGGTGATTGAACTTAGGATGCATTTCCTGTAATCAATCAATCACTCTTTCAATTAAAGAACAAAGAAAGGAATTGGTATTGGTGAGATTCTTGCCTGTGTACAAGAGATTTTTATTGATCCTCAGACCAGGTAACTGTTGATTGCAAAAGGTTTATTGATCATTTGTACTTTGTTTTCCTGGTATGTTGATGTCATCTCTGAAAAGAAACAAAAATCACAGGTTAACAATAATTTGCTGGCTTTGGTTTTACCTGGGATGATTCATAGCATAATTGTAAAAGCTGAGCCAAGAGACACCCACATAAAAATAAGAATTCTAGAAAATTATTAATAGAGCTGCTGAAAGTACATTAATGAAGCTCCTTCCACTTAACTTTTCCTAGATGTATCTTTGGAGGTATCTGTTTTTCCTAAGTGAATTAACAGAACAAATGCATGATTCTTGCTGCTGTGATGACTTTCCGATGCCGCCTTTGCTGCCAGGTATGAATCCACTAGCAGCAAGCAATGCATTTTAGGGCAGCATCCTGCTGTAAGAACTGCAGACTCTGGATTATTATTATTTGGGCCACTTCCCAGCATTGCCTTGCCACATGAGTAGAGACCAACTGAGCAGCATCTAGATCCATATTATGGCTGCATCTTTCCAAGAGTTTACCAGTTGGAGTACCTGCTAATATTGGGGGAGTTCCATTGCAGCTGCATAGGGCAGACAGTCTTGCAGTATGCCAGGGCCTTATGTTAGGGTATTCCAGGTAGACAGCTGGAAAGGATGCGGCTGGTTAATTACGTGCCTTGGGCCACGCAGAGTGTCTGGCTGATCTGGGCTTTTACTAGGAAGACAGGGTAGCCCCACAGCCTTTATTGCTGTGCAACATCTCCTTTACCTACGTGAATGTGTAACCTTTCCCTGTGTTGATGTGTCTTTACAGCACCTACGTCTACCTAGTACTGCCACTCCATCTCTGCCCCACGAGCCTCCCCCTTGTCCCCACACATACCTGTTTTGGCTTGATCCCATGTTTGACCTGTAAAGTACAGAGAGTGAGATATTGTGACTTTCAGAGCAATAGTCAAAGATCAGCATTCAAAGAGGCAACACATTAGGAGCTGGGAAAATTCAGGAGCTTCTGTATTTTTTTCTTCACTGCTCGTAATCTTTTATTCAGTTTTACTCCATCTAGCGTCAGAGTTTGGAAATAAGATCTTGCCTTGGCAGCCTTCAGCTTATTTATATTAGATCTCATGACTCTACTGGGAAATAGTATTCATCGTAGTCCCTTTCCTTCAACACTACTTAAGCAGTTTTCTGGTGACTTTGCCAAAGACAGAACTCACAGGAGGATTGGCAGCAGGGGAGGGATCTCCTTATCTTTTCCCTCAGTCTTTTCTCTTTCTCTTGTAAGGAACTTCATCATGTGTCTTCTAGAAAGCTGTGCTGAAATTTTCTGTCCATATGAAATTTACTGCACCAACCATTAGTGCCTGTAAGAAAGTTAAGGCCTGATTCTCACTTTTCTAGTTTGAACTGGTCATACAACCCATGGGAGATCATATCGTGAGGCATATATACTCTGGAATTGGAGGGATATTTTTCTGCTCTGCTTCCCTTCCTCCTTTATTTCTTTCTCTAGTTTGGGGCTGGGGTGAGTTAGCATAGATCTATAAGCTGGCAGTGCCTGCACTTTCCTACAGTGCTTTCACAGCTGAATTTCCACACTGCCTGCTTTGCCGAGTCCTTGGGAGCTTCCAGGGCATCCAGAGATGTCTGCTGAAATGCAAAGAGGGAAGCTTATCAGCACCTAGCCAGTACCTGCCTACCAGCCTGCTTTGCCTGCAACCTGGTGATCACACTGGAGGCACCTGGGGGTTGTCTCAGCCCTCTTTTGCCTGTACTGGTGTCTGGCACTTCACAGACAGAGATTTCTTTTAGTGATACAGCTCTGATGTTACCCAGGGTGTCACAGTTATACAGCAATATTTTTCAGCTTGTTCCAAACAGTTTGTGGCAGCTCTTTCCCAGAAAGAGGAGACATTTCAAAACATAATCAGGGGACCTAACATGTGGTGAGCTTATGAACTTGTCAAAATTTCTTCAAACAAAATAACACAGATTTGAGCATGTGAACCAAGTTATGCAAATGCCTGCCTGGCTGGAACTGCAGCCATTAAAAACAACAATTCTATCCTCTTCTTCTGACTGTGATAAATAATGCAAAACAAGGCCAGTGCAAAGTGATTTGAGCTAACTGGGGTGAATCAGCAATGGATTAGGTTCAGGGGTGTTCACTTTATCCCTTCCCCAGCCTATGTCTGAGGAGAAGGTGGCAGGGAAATACTGTGAAGGGCATTGTCTGTCAGTATTGTTTCTAAGTGATGTCCTGCCTGTGCCACAGTCCTAAGTAACTCAGTCCTCTGTACACAGAAAGAAAAAACAAGGGACTAGATGGCAAGCCAATGCTCTTCTTCGTTTAGACCAATGTAATTGGTAAGTCAACTAAAGAAACTGGCTTTCTTGCTGATGCTCTCAGGCAGCTTTCCCACTGTTAACAATGCCAATGCCAGGAAAGGATGGTCCAGGCTATCTCAGCTGTAATACTTTACTACTTCCCTTATGACAGATGCCCTTGAACAGCCTGATCTCTCTGGAAATGATTTTTATGTCATAGCATATAGATTTTTGGCAGGGCCAGTTCCACGAGGCCATGGAGATGTGCAACTGCCTGACCAGAATATGCAGCTGCACAGGGAGGCAGGGGGAAGCAGAGCAGAACTGTCTCTGAAGACGGGACACTCTGCTGATCCCATGCTTTGATACTGTCCAGGGAGTCATTGAAGCTCACTCAAAATAACCAGTTCACAAACACTTTAAAAGAAGTATTTCCACTTGAAGGGGTAGTTATTTCTCAGCACTTGTCTCCACCTCCAGGCCCCCTCTCCCACACCTCTTGTGCCTGCACAAGCATTTTAATGCCTATGTAGTAGACCGCATTTGAGAATGGGCCAGGTGTTGTTTTTAATGAAGAAAAATAAACAAACAAATACGACCCCACACCTAGTTACTTTTCAGCCAGTGTTTTGGGTTTTTTTGTCTTTGTTCATCTACAAGTGCATACAAATTTTCCATTGAAGCTGTGGGCCTCTTTGATGTATCTTTAAGGCCAATTTAAGCCCATATGGAAAGCCTCTAAGCCCATGAACTTCTGTGAACCTATGAAAAAATCTCCATGAGTCCCCAAGCATTTGCAGCCTGGAAGGCAGAAGTCATCATCACTGATCATTTCTTTCAGCTTGCTATTTGCTCTCTGACACGGAGCTGTAAAGTGCCCAGGGAACATGGAGGTGGATGGTTATAAGCAACGATCAGAAAAAAAAAAAAACAACTTTGGATTTCTTGATACCTAGTACAGGTCATTTAAGGAAGAACTCTCGGAGAGTAAAAGATCAGGGAATTGAAATAAATTATCTGTCAGAGTACATGCATGTACTTAAAAAAGGATCTATAAACAATCTTATTTTCTGAGAAATTACTGAAAGAAGTTCTATCTGAAATTAGTGATTCATTTTTCATATGTTTAGTGTGAACTTGCTTAGAAATTAAATGCAGTACAGGAAATTCTGTGAGTTGGAATATGCATGAGTTCTGTTTTGATGCTGTTCTCTCTGGCTAAAAGCTGTAGAACTGTCAGTCCCTTGCGTGAGGAGGCCTTGTTTTGTTTTGTTTTGTTTTGAAGCTGTCCTTTAGCTATGGCAGCAACTTCCATTCCTAACTAATCCCATGTTGTCACCTCCCTGACAAGCCCTAGCCAACTTAAAGCTGCTCAGTCTGGGCGGCAGACAGGTGCTTCCTGGGAGCAGGGGATTCTCTGCTCAGTGACATCTAATATTTGAGTTACCCTGGATGTCTGTTGACAGGAGTGAAGAGGGTGCTCTTCCAGAAACATTTATCTTTTTTCATCCAGACGCACAGCAGCTCCAGGGAAAAGCAGAGTCACTTGTTTATTGCAGGAATCAGTGGCACCGGCAAGTTTGCCAGCAGAGACCACCGTGGCTGTGGAAGGAATTCCCTCTAACAGGTGCCTGAATATTACTAGGAAAGTATTCTCCTGAATCAGCAGGTTTGGCACCATCTCTTACAATCAAATGATTCAGAGACTAGCCCTGAACAGTTGTGCAGAGGGGTAGGAAGGAGTAGGGATTCCTCCCTGTTTGGCAGCTGTGAAAAGGTCAACCACAAATGCAGCCCCCAGATCTGAGGGGAGAACAGGCATCCCGGGCCAGATGCTCTCCTAGGGAATGTGGAGGGTGGCCAGGGAGGAGCAAAAAATAGCCAGAAGTGTGGCTCTGCCCATCAGGCTGGTAGCTGGCATCAGTGAAATATGCTGTATCCTGGAAATGGGTTTAATGAATTAATCTTGCCCTAACAGTCTGGGCTATGTGTGTAGGGAGATATATATATATATATATATATATATATAAACTGTTTCTGTGTGCATATGTGTCTGTACATGAAGTATTCCCCCCATTCAGGAATGGTGCTAAGAGGAATTGAGAGCCTGAAAGTGCCTACAGAGTGTCTTAGTACTGCTTTTTAAACCCTGGTGTCCTCAGCACAGTGCAAAGCATAATGTTCATGGCTTTAAAGTGTGTGATATAAAGATCAATTTCATTTTATGGAAAGGGTAACCTAAGCCAAAGTAACCTGTCCAAGGTTGTTCAGAAGAACAAGTTTGGCTAAACAGGACAGTGACAGAACCAGGCAGGAAATCTCTAGTCACTGGTGGCCTCTCCTCAACACTGAATGGGTATTTAATCTTTTTTCTGCAAATACATGTGTGCAAGGAATTGAGACAGCCATTTCTGCTGACACCACGTGCTCATTTTTTAACACTTAACACAAATGTGTTTGGAGTTTTTTAGGCCATCTCTGTTCGTAGTTACATTTGCAGTAGCATGCATTATTACAGCATTTGTGGATCTTTAAACTCATTTAACTTATTTCCCAAGATGTGTACTGAGAAAACCTAAGGCACTGAATGCAGCCTTCGTTCTATCAGCCATCCATTAATCCCTGCGGTGCTGAGCAAACTGAGCCTGCTCTGGTGTATCAGGAGGACCAGGCTCATCTTGTGCATGTGGTATCTGCTTCTTCAGCAGAAATGCAAAAGCATTTCACTAAGAGGACTGTAGCCCTTCAAGTTGTCTTCCACTCTCATTCCCCCAGTAGTAGATATTTGGCCATGGTGGTGGTCAATAGCGGGTATTTGGATTAGAGGAAATATTCTCCAGGTAGTGGATATTTGGCCAATGTAAAGGGAAACCCTGCAGTCAAAGCAGACCAGAAAGGAATCTTTTTGACTGATTTTGCAAGGCTTATCATGGAGGAGGCCAAGTGTCTTTGATGCCTCTGTTTATCCTTCTTTGTAAACCTCCAACAACTTATGAAAACTTCATGTTGACCTGATGATTGGGTTGTCTGTAGAAAATATTAGTTGGCAGAATGAAAGACCCTGCAAAGGACTGCTTGGAGTGAAAAAAAAAAAGTAGCAAGTGAAAAACCAACTTAAGATTTAGCTGAGGGGTGTTAAGAAAAAACACTCAAGTCTTTGACCCCAGAGGTGTCAAAGATTCTGCTGAATCTATGTGACCACTTTCTCCAGATCCAAGAAGATGACACTGATTGTCATAGGTTAAAAGGAATATTCCTGGGAGAGGAAAAGAAAAGCAAAGCTTGTTTTAGGAGAACAAAGACAGATGCAGGCAACTCAGTGGCTCTCAGGTAGATGAGGATTACTGAAGAAAACCAGAAAGCTGTCTGGATTACTGGGGACTTAGAGAGAAGAGGGGTGCATGTTTTTTTCCCTTCAATGCTTCATTTCTGTTGTTGCAAGATGCTTAATGACCATGCGTGAGAAGGCTACTTTGAACTTGTCACAGCTCCTGTAAGGAGGAACTGGAACACTGAAACTCAGTTTTGCCTCTTCCACAAGTCCAAAAGATAGTTAGGGCACACAGGAATGGAACTGTG